TTTGGCTGAGCCCCTAAGAAGTCTTCTACCTCGAGGGAAGGTAAATCCAGCCACTCTAGAGAAAGAATAGTTTTAAAATATAGGGTGCCTCGGCAGCAGGCCCAGCGCGCTCATAAAGCAGGCTTCTCTCCTAGTTACGGGAGTTAGGATTTGGGGGCTGCTTCCTCTATGTGGTGTCCTGCAGTGGGGGTGAGATAGGTAGCATTTAGTCCAACCCCCTGCGCTCCTATCAGCTGACATGTCTTCTTGCAGAGCCAGACAGACATCTCCATCTAAGGAGCCTCATTCTGATGCTAGGCAAGTGGAATGTATTTGTAGCGTGTGTGTCTTTCGGGTGGCATTGATCTGGGGGTGGGGCTGGGAGGGGGGCTCATCTGTGGCCGGATCTGGACCACGTGTTCTCATCAATCGATGCATCCAACGTTCAGTGAGCATCTACCACACCCTCGTTCTTGACACAGCGCGTTTAACAAGGGAACACAGCACAATGTTAAAAGTGACCCCTTCCCCAGCCCCAGGCCCCGTTCAACAAATTTCACCTTTCAGACACAGAAAGGTTTGACCCAAACAATAACACTCTCCTCCCAGAGAAAACCACTTATTCATGGTCAGGGCAAGCATTCTCCGTGACCTTTGGTGTGTTGGTCCTTAACCACAGGCTGTCAGGGAAGTGGCTTCCAAATACCCCTCACCCTGCTCCCAGGATGGAGTCAGCACAAATGTGCTAACTGATCTCTCCGCACCAAGGGGCGTCTCCAATTAAATGGTTCAAAGGCATTTTTTTTTTCCCCTGCCTTACAGTTTGGCCATCTTTCCCTTGATGCAGTAAAAGCTCTGATGGTTTGGAATTTATGATCCTTTGGACAGGGACTGGGCTGAGGTCTGCTTCTGGACGGTTCTGCATAGAAAGGATTTTCGAAGAAAATGAACAGCTTGCCAGATGAATTGTAAAGAGAATGCTCACTGCCTTTAAGGGCGTCCCTGTTCTAGCCCTTTAAGAACACTCACAGATCCACAAACAATTCTTATGCTAATTTCAAATGATTTTTCCATGTTCAGTTGGTCCCCAGCGACCACCAGTCATCGATATGATGACTGGGACTTCAGCTGCCTTCAAACGCTGGGTTTGCCCTGAGCCGAAACTTCTTAGGTACAAACTTTTTTCGGCTAAGCAATCAACAAAGGGAATTAAGTCAGCGCCAGGCCCTTCGTTGGTGGGGATAAAAGAGGGGTCCCTCTGCGCTTAAAGGAAGCTTGTGGATTCCCTCTGGCTTCCCTACTAGTTGGCATTGTCCTAGTTTGTCTGTGGGTGACCCTCACTGTGGCTCACCTGCAATGGTCCCTTTCAGATTTTTCCATCCTGCAAAATAATAATTATGAACAACGTCCCTTTCCTTCTTAAAGACTTCTTACTATGTACTCTAAGTTATGTGATCACCGTAAATTCGACAACACTCAGGGATTAAAACTGGGATTTTTTTTTTTTCCGAAGAGTTAGAGCTTTATGGGTCTTTCCTATACAAATCAAAAGAATGGTCCATACGGACATTGGACCAATCAATCTAGAATCCAAATACTTCACTATTCTCCACTCTGTTTCTGAAATAGTCAGACCCCACCCCCCACACACTACCTGTGTATTAATTAATTCTTATCTCAATGCAATTAAAACTTCGAGATTAGCCGGGCGTGGTGGTGCACACCTGTCATCCCAGCGGCTCAGGAGGCTGAGGCAGGGGGATCGTGAGTTCAAAGCCAGCCTCAGCAATTTAGCGAAGCCCTAAGCAACTCAGTGAGACCCTGTCTCTAAATAAAATACAAAGTAGGGCTGGGGATGTGGCTCAGTGGTTGCACACCCCTGAGTTCAATCCCTACTACCAAAACAAACAAACAAAAAACCTTCAAGATGTTGATGGTCAGCATTATTCGAGGAAGACATGGAAAGGCGTATGCAACACAATACCTAGGAACAGTTGATTTCCCATTAGCCACTGTAAGCTTTGTTACAGAACCCACGTCTACTAAACAAACACTGTGTGCCGCACACCAGAGGGAGGGCTTTACCAGCTTCAGTCCTCCTCTCCCTCCATATAGGGTGCCAACTCTTACTACTTCTGCTTTCAAACTGACAAGCCAGCTCAGCCAGGTAGAGCTACTTGTTCAGGATGCTCAGTAAGTGATAGAACCAGGTCCGGATTCCAGGCTGTCTTATGTTCCAATCAGTTTCTTAACCACGATGATAGACCGTCTCCTGCTCTGCTATACTGTTCTGACATTTGAGTCAGACATCTGCTTGCAATTGGATACATGATAAAGCTGTTCCTCATCAAGTATGTCTCATGGAGGGGGGAGGGAGGAGGGAGGAGGGGGAGGGAGCAGGGGGGAGGAGGGAGGAGGGGAAGGAGGAGGGAGGGGCTGAGGGGCTTCTGCTGGAGCGGATGTGATGGATGCATGTTTCTGTGAGATCAACAAATGGATCCTATACTTCTGTCCTGGTGCTCAATTATCTTCGGAAGATACACTTAAAACATCCTGGGGAAGCTCATTCAGGGGGAAATATTAAACAAATATAAAGTGTGCACCTAACAGGACTGGGTTCCCCGGCCCCTCCTCCATCTCCCTGCAGACAGCTCTATTTGTGCGGATCTGCTGACTGTGAGCTGGGTTTGAGTCATGGAACTCAACAACATCTCTGATGAGAATGAGTCTCTAGATTTTCTCTGAAAAACAGTCACGGGAGTGGGGGGGGGGAGGCAAATGATGCCAGTGGCTCTGTCCTTTTTTCCTCCTAAGAACTCTGCTTTGGCAAACCTGGTGCTTTTAAGTTTAAGTCACTACAGAACACCGGAAAGGAAGTAGAAACTGACCACCCCTGGAGGAGGCTGCTGGGGTGAGGTTTGAGAGCCCATCTTACGAAAAGACAGCTCAATCCCAGCCTTGAACACAAACCTCCCATGCTCCCCGTCGAACCCACACCAAGAAAAACACCCATAAAACTGGGATCTGTTCCACAGAGAGGCCACGCCTGTTACAGAAGTATTAAACAGGATCCTCCTAGCATGACATAAATCGAGGGCTTGTAGCTCAGACTTTAACCTCAGGAGAGAGGAGACCCAAGACATTAAAAGAAACCCAGAGAGAAATGAAAACAGGGGGCATATGTGGGAGCTGTCGTAAAAGGTCTCAGACAGATTAAATCAGAATTATCCCAAAGCCACCGAAAGCAGGAGGGTTCGGGACACTGGGTAGAAAATTTATGTGATTGACACAACGACCAAGAAAAAGGCATGTTAGTACCAGCCAGACAAAACAAGGAAATACTAAGGGAAGTAGACAGGGACATGCTTTTCTGAATTAGAGCCCCATCAGGAATCTGCTTCCTCCCCCCTCTGTGCTCCTAAAATAGATGAGAAACTCTGGACCAAATGCCACACTTGGAGTTTCCAATCAAAATCCCCGAGTCCCTCCTACAAGGGCATAATCTTTGGCCAGTGCAGCATCTGATTTGCCAACTGTAGGTACACTCCAAAGGTGGATCGGATGGCAGAGAACCAGGAAGATAAAACTGCTGACGTCAAAACTCTCTACAAAGAACCTCTTTCGGAGCAGGGAAGCGTCAGCTTTTAATGGCATTTGGCCTTATTGTTCCCCTTCTCCAGCCTGACAGTGGCTTCCCCCTCCCTCTCCTCTGCAAATACTATCTGCGGCTTGAAGCCTGCTGCACCCCACTGGCCCATGGTGTTTCTTGGTCACCCGGTCCCAACAGGGGACATCCATTTTTTTTTTTTCTAAAGACTTATCTGAGCTTCTATCCGACTAGAGGAAAGTTCTGCAGTATGGGTTTTATTTTTGCAGGTGTGATTCCCCGTCGACCCCATACCTACTGCAAAGTTCAGATCGAGTTGTCCCAGAACAAGCCTTCTGTCCAAAACACTTTCTCAAACATGTTTTCAATCTACTCCCTAATGTCGCCTGCCAGGATTAATAAATCCACCAAGTGGTCCCCCCTGGCCCGCTTCTTCCTTTTTTTGCCCGCCAAACCGCACATCCAACACTAGCAAAAGAGGAGTTTCCATCCTGCCTTGATTCTCCCTGACAGAGGGCACAGCCTTCTTCCTTTCTTCTCAAACTCCTCTAAATGGAATGACTTATCAAAAGAAGGGGGGGGGGTTCTCTATCTTGGAACGCTTCGGTTCTCCCCAGCCCCCTCATCTCTTCACCCCACATCTTGTTCCGCCTCTTTCTGCCTTTCATTTCTTCCCTTTTCTCCTCCTGGATCATTTTATTTTATTTTATTTTATTACCACCACTCCAGGATCTGCTACCATCCCTGAGTTCAAAGCAATCAGCGTCTTTTTGAAAAACCAAATAAAACTCTACCAAGATCATCTTCATGATTTCGGAAGACTCCTCGAGCTCAGAATCCCAGTTTTGGACGCTGGAGAGGAGAGAATTTGGTGGCAGTGGCAGCAGCAGCGGCCCAAAAGGCGTGGAGGAGGGTGCTGTTTTGGGTGTATTTGAGGGAACAACATATGGGCTTTTTGTCAAAACGCTCAGAGCTCCCTGGTTTCTGAGCTGAGGATAGCAATGTGCGGCTGCCTTTGCCCAGGGTTCCAGCCGGTTCACCCCTCACCTTGCCCAACATTCCCCAATCACCCCCTATCCACCATTCCTTTGGCCCCTGCCCTCTGAGCTCTGTGATACCAAGAAAAGTTTTTCAGTCAAGTCATACCCCAGCCGCACCGCCCACCCTAAGAAAGCAAAAAATCTCTTGCATAGGAGCAATAGGGTCCGTGCAGCGTCTGTCCCCAAAGAATCCCCGTCCCTCTCACCAGCTTCTTCCTCAACACAAGCAATTAGTTCCCATGTTCCAGCGGGAGACACCGAGTAGTGACGGGAAGAGACAGCCCAGCTGCCTGCATCCACCCCTCACCGCTCCGGGGCACAGGCCAGAAAGGGGGACCTTCCGGGGTCTCCCCTCTTAAGAACGAGGTCCTTACCTTGACAGCGGCTTGCGGGCCGTGATACTAGCAACAATGATGCTCTCGGGACGCGGGGTGGCCACCGCTTTGAAGGTTCCTCGCCAGAACTTCTCAAAAAGCTGCTTCTCGCCCTGCTGAACGCTCGCCATAGCCAACCCCAAGGGGGCCGCGGGGCGCCCGGGCGCTGTCCGAAGTGCTGAAACGTGGCTTCCAAACGGGGGCGCAGCCGGCTCCGGGCGCTGTCCGCGGGAAAGCCAGAGGGGTGGGGTGGGAGGATCCGAGTTCGGGGCGGGGGATGGGGCGCCCGGGTCTGGACAGGCAGCGGGGCCAGAGGGCTCGTCCGCCGGCTTTCGTCGCCTTCTGGGCTGGCTCTGGGCTGCGCTCCCAGCTCGCAGGGCTGCGCAGCCCGGGAAGGGCCAGCAGGGCCGGCTTCCGCGGCAGCGCTGGGAGAGCAGAGGCGACCGGGTCGTCCGGGTGTGCGTGCGCGTGTGAGCTCCGGCGCGCCCGGGTTTTGTCTCTCGCACAATGTGACGTTTCAAGAGGAGGCTGGTCGCGCGAGCTGCACTTGCCTCCCCCCCCCCCCCCCCTCCCTGTCTCTCCTCCTTCCCACCCACCCCCTCCTCCTCTGGCTCAGCCTCCTGCCGCCATCTGCATAACAAAAGCCCGCAGGTCTTGGGAGGAGAAAGGGCGGGGCGTGCGCCTGTCACCAAGGCCCCGCGGCCACGGAGTTGCAGCGCTGACCCTACTGAGAAGCTGCCCCCCACCCCGGGCTCAGCCAGGCAGGGAATCCTGCTTCCCGGCTCTTTCTCCTCCTCCATCATCGTGGGCCTACCCCCCCACCACCATACTTTCCTTGTGCACCCCCGAGGCTCGGCCACCTCCCTTCCCAAGTCTTGCAGTGATCTCCTATTGAAGGGCCCAGTGAAAAACTTCACCGATTCGCTCAGGCCAGCCTGCCCCCTTCGCTGCTGGGAGGGACCGCCCAGGCCCCGCAAAGGGGGTCCCTGGCGTTCCTCTATGCGCCCGGGGGCCGCGAGATCTCCACCACCCAGAAAGTGCCATTTAATGGACAATCCGTCACCAATTCGGCTTCTCGCCATCTGCCGAGCCGGCCCCCACCCGCAGAGGGGCGCAGCGTTACATCTGTGCCTGGGGCGCGGCAAAGGGGATCTCCTTTGTGCCTCTCAGCCAGCCTGCCCAACGTCCCCGCTACCGAAGCCTTCCCAAGGAAGGGGACCCCTCCCACACACACACTTTCCACTTCTGGGGAATTCGGGGAGCAGCCGCTTTTCGGGAAGGGGATACGTTTTTGTAAAAGAAAGAGCTAAAAGGGGGGAGAGTTTGGGGCGGGGTCTGGGGACTCCAAGGGGACAGTAACTTTTCGGGCTCTCCTCCCCCATCTTCTACCCCTCCCCCCGCCCTTCCAACCTAATCCCAGCAAATGGTGCGGCTTTGGGATCTCAAACTCCAGACGCATAGGATCTGGGCTGAATTCTTCTTGCTTTCCTAGGTTGTTGTTGTTATTATTATTAAAAGAGGCGATCTTTGCGGGACCCCTTAGCCCATCTCTCTCGAATCGCTCCTCTCTCCCATCCCTGGGCTGGAAACTCTTGGAAGGAGTCTTTGTTGAGTCTTACAGCCCCCGAGGACCCGGCACCCGGTCCCGGCCACAGCGGGGACAAACCTATGATTCTTGCTGATACTGTAACCGTGGGGACAGAGCAAAGGGCAGGGACATCAATGTGAACTTCAGAAATTCTTTGAAAGGGAACGGGAGCTAAACAGGGGGATGAGGCTAAGAGGAAGAGAGGATAAGATGGGGACAAGAGAAGCAAGAACCCCGGAGTAAGAGTATGCGTCTGGAAGAACACACACGTCTGTGTATTGTTTGTGGGGCTGATGAGGAGGGCCGATAGCGCAGTCTGCTCGGCAGTGACCCCTTCTGGTCGACAGCTAGAGGTGCACTGACGGCTTTTTAAGTGGGTAGCACCTTCCTGGTGGTGCAGTTAGGGCTGGGTGGGATACTTGGAGGTGGCGGAGAGTGAAGAGGAGGTTCGCTCCTGGCCTCCCACTTGATCCTCACCCCATGCTGCAAACCCCCCCATTCCTCGATTGCCCTCAGGCCCTGTTTTCCACCTGCAGTTGATGTCACTTTAAATGCAGTAGCCTGGGATATTTAAAACGATCCTTAGTCATGACAATGGGGGGGTCTGCCCTGAGTCACTTGCGGGAGATAGGTGGGATCCTCCTCCCACGAAGTCAATCAACCTCTCCCAGCTGTGTTTCTGTTCTTAATTCCTAGAGGGTTGTCAAAGCTCCCAGGTGCACACCATTCCCTCCTCGGAACCCCACGGCAGGCAGCTCAAGTGGGAGAAAGAAGTTACTCTTACTACCTGTTAAAGATGAGGAAGTGGAGCCAGGGAGGTGGCAGCACACCTGTAATCCAATATAATTCCGGAGGCTGAGGCAGGAGGATCCCAAGTTCGAGGCCAGCCTCAACAACGTAGCAAGCCTCTAAGCCACGTAGGCCGTGTCTCAAAATTAAAATAAATAAATCAAAGGGACTAAAAAGACACAGTTTCTGCTTTTGCTTGGGAGTGGGGCCAGGGGATACTAGACATTGGCAGGCAAAACCCATCCAATACCAACGGGCAAAGTACTCCTTGGTGTTGAGCCTTCTAGAGTTGGGAGTCTCCTGCAATAAACTCACTTTCCTGTGCTTCAGTTTCTTCATCACTAACATGAAGAAGCTATGGAGATTGAATATCACAGGTTTAAATAGACTGTGAGGACTCAAGGGACTCACACAGTACACATTCCTAGGAGCAGAGCTCTGGAACGTGGTTCCTAAAGACACCAATTATTTTTCCAATGACCGAGAGCGCATTGGTCAGGAGTGAGACAGAAGTAGAGTATGAAGCCCAGCTCTGCCTCAGTTTCCCCCTCTGTGAAATGGAGGCATTTTATAGGATCGTTGTGATTAAAGAAGATTTCACCCATAAAGGACTTAGCACAGTGTCCCGTTCATGGCAAGTGACTGTTAAATAGTAGCTGTTATGACAAACACTGTTGGAATCTTAGCATCTTAGGCCAGGCTATATGTGGGGCTCGATAATCATTCACCGAGGCCCACCTTGGATCTTGGTTGGGAATCTGGATATTGAGGGTCCAGAGACCAGAGAGCCCCTTCCCTGGAGGAGTTCACAGTCTGATTCACCTCTGGGTCCCCATGCCTAACCGTCGACTCCTTCCCATATTCTCACTCTTAGTCTTTCGGCCTGGTTTCTCCAATACAACTCAAACTCTAGACCCTCCAGGTCCATGACCACCTGTGTCTGTCACGGTATGACCCTCTGTGCCTCAGTCCCTCGGGGCCTTGCTCTCTGTTTTCCTGGGTGCAAGCCCCCTACTCCATAAACTGAGGCCTGTCAGTACCGGATGGATAAAGATAAATAATGTGTGGCACCATTTCTGCTGAATCCTCCACATGCTGCCCCCAACAGGTGTGGAAAATTCATTGCAGCCCTCTTGCTGGGACCTAACCTCAGAATCCTTCTCAACCCAGCCTTCTAGATAGCCATTTCTAATTGGTTGGAGTCAGCATCCTAGACAAAATCAATTTGCCATCCATGCCTAGATGCTGGTTCTTTACCTAACTGGGGGTGTCATTTCATCTAAAAAAAAAAATAAAAAGGGAAAGAAGAAGTGATTCCAGGATTTTCAACTCCAGGCACTCTAGAGCAGTGGTTCAGAGAGATTCTTGTGCTTTCTTCCTCTAGAGATCCAAAGATGTGTCAGCTCCAGCTCAGAGAAACACCTACGTCTCCTCCGCAGACAGTTCAAGTTCCACTCAGGAACCTGACTGTGTTACCTCGGGTAAATGCCTTAATCTCTCTGTGTCCAGGACTTCTCTGTCTATAATGAGGCTAGTCATTATCTACCAGTCTCAAGGGACTTCAGGGAACTTGACAGTCTGTACCTGTTTCCAAAAGTCCAGTGAATAGTGAAAGATTCAAATAATTACTGAGATTACAGGAAATATGATAATGAGAGCAATCTGTCTTTCTACCTTTGAGCAGGATCAGAGGAAGCCATTCAAATGATGAGATTCTGTATTCTTCATAAAGATATTTGAGGGAGAAAAACATGATTGTACTAATCAGGGTGGACTCACTTCTTGAAAGTTCTACTTTGGGTCTAAACTGAATCCAGCCTCTGACATTCATAGTCTATTCCTTTTCTAGAATTCCAAAGCCCCCGGACTAACATGGATGAACCAGGGTCCTCCTTCCTGGGTTGTTTAGTTTCCTATGTCTAAAGATTGGATCATCCATGTCGAACACAGGATTGGAACACAGTAGGAGTTCAATAAAAGTAGCTCCTATATACAGAATATAGCAGACTAATGTTGATATTATACCAGTCTACAGGCAAGAAGGCAAGATTTTATAACTATAGAAACAAATGACAATATAACACACTGTGCTTACTGATAATGCTTAGAGTCATTTAACTGTGATCTGATGAGAGAAAAGGACTAAGTTTTATGTACACTCTGTGTACATTCTACATAACATACTCTGTCATAGGAGTACTTGTACATAACTATAATCATAAAGTTTTATATAGAACTCGGTGCCAAGCATTGTTCAAATTACTTTACAAATATTATCTTATTTAATGCTCACAAAAAAACCTACACTTTAGATCCCGTTACTGGTAACCACATTTTACATAAAAGGAAACAGACGCACAGAGGGGTGAAATAACTTGTCTAAGGACACACAGCTAGTCAAAGGTAGAGGCAACATGTGAACTTACCCAGTCTGTCTTGCAAAGTCTGCCCTCTTCATCATTTTTATCCGATGCCTGTGGTATCATTTTATGTCCAAGATTGGCATTCATTGATGTGCAACTATGTCTTGGGCCTAGTACTTGGACAGAGGCAAAGGTAGGTCCTGCTCTCAGAGAGCTCATAGTCCAGTCGTGAGCAGGGGAGGTTACAAAGAAAAATGTCCCCAAGGAGAAAAGGTGTGAATGAATCTGGATAACTGGAGAATTTATTAATCTGAGTGTACAGAGGCCAAATCCCCTCTGAGATTAGTTGCATTTAAGCCGAGGTCAAGAATAAGGCGTCAGCATGTTGAGA